CCAGTCTTAAGGGTGAGGGCTAACGGGGCCTTCACTTATCTTCCGAGGAGACTTCTTGATTTTCAGAATGGTGTAGTAAAAACTACCCTTTAGGAAGGTTTCATTTCCACTCAATTTCAAACACTATTTCTCTCAAACCTCCATCACAACCCTTCCCAAATACTAATAAAATAATTTCTTGTGTGGTTTTTATCACCTAATTTTCCAAAGTCCTGCCGTTTGGAACAGGATAGTATTTGAGGTTTAGCAAGGACAAAGATGGCTGAGTCATATGTCTGCCCAGACCATAAGGGTGATAGGAAAAACAGACACTCTTTGTGTGTGTCAGGGAGATGATGACTACATCGCTAACTGTTCAAGCTCCTCTGCTGCACACCAGGCTGCCCAAGCACATCTTGGACAAGGAAGTCGGCATGTTTTGAAAAGGTGAAACAAAAATAAGAAGCAAAAAAGGGAATTCTGGGCCAGAGAAAGTGAGGGATGTAGGTGAGCCTGGCAAGACAAATCAGAGCTGGATTTGCTGCAACTTTGTAAAGGACGTTAGTGACAGCAGAAGCTTCATACTCCACCAGATTAAAACTAATTACCCTCCAAGCTATTGCAGCACATGGAATAACCTTCTTCCACTCCTTCACTTCACTAGCTCCCGTGGGTTCATGGTACAGAGGCAGGCAGGCAAGCACCACTTTTAAAAAGGCAAACACTGAGCCAAGTCAAAATCAAGAGCAAAGGCTGAAAGTTTCACCATTGCACTCTTGAGGATCTGTGGAGAAACCGAGGTCCTGCTACTGACAGGGAAAGTCAGTAAGCACTGAACTACTCAGAAAATGGGCTGTGCATTTCATTTGATGCCAGCTCCTTTGCAGATGCTCTTCATCTGCTTCTCAACAGCTCAGCTCCCAGCGCTGGCTCAGCAGAGGCCAGAGCAGGATCAGTCAGCCCACCCCTCCACACGGTCCTGCTGCACCTTCTCCTTGCTGCAGCTCATCCCCCACATGCAGACTTTCACAGAGGAGGCTCAGGGCCACCTTTCGCTCCTCCAAGGCCCCGGCTCAGCACTGAGGATCAGGGGAGGTGGCAGCATTGCTGTGATGAGTTGCCACTGCTGTACCAATGCTCAGACTGACACCGCTAGCAGGGAGGACACCGAGTGGGAACATCCCCTCCTACTGCCATCTTACAAAGGCTAACAGCATTTAGGATCTGAAACTTGCTATAGGGAGTAGGCAGTCTCGCTAAGTGCAGAAGTCGGTGAAAAACATGAACGTGTTGCCATCCAAACCTGGAAATGCATGAGGATTACCAGCCTCCCTGCGTATGCCTCAGTGCTCATCTCCCACCTCACTTCTACCTCAGGCTGGACTGAAAGCTTCGGGTGAAATGTTGCATTGTGCTCTGCCAGGCTCTGAAGCCAGGGAGGTCTTCCCTCTGGCACCTTCCCTGGAGGTTCACATGCTTTCCCAACACAGCCATTTCTTGCTTGGTTTCCATGGTCTTGAGCTGCTTCCATGTGTACTGTTTACGCCTCCATTCCATGGGCTTTTCTTCCATCATTAAAATCCCATAAATTAATCCACTGTTTATTTGCCTGTCCAGAGACTTGTTTGTTCTTTTTGGCTAAACAGTTTGCATGGGTTGTCAAGCAGCTCCTTCCTGCTTCTCCCACAATCAGGTCAAGCCACTTTCGGGACTGTGTTTGATGCTGGGAGATGCAGCCACTGCCTGCAAGCCAGACTGCCTGCTTTGGAGGATTATCAAGTCAGGCCTACAAAGCACCCCACAATTATCTCTGCCACAGCTGGCCAAGGCCTGACTTCCAGTATTTTACACAGTCAGTAAATCTCCCCCGACTCTTCCCTGACTCATTCTCTTCTGTTTTGGGGTAATAATAGCCAAGTGTGGGTGTGGGGAGCTGCCAGTGGTTACCACTCTCCAAACACACAAGGGGGAGTGGGGTTATGCCTCTTCCTCCCTGGAGCCCAGGCTGAGCTCAGCAACACAAACATTCATTACGCATGCTAGCAGCTCTGAGAACCTCCCTCTTAAATTTCTGAGAGAAATGTTTCCTTTGCCTTTTGTTCCGTAGTCTGGAGATACTTACGCAAAACAAAAGGGATCCTACCATTATTAAAGAGGTGCATGAAGTCTTCATGAAAATTTCTTTAAAGAACAGCTTCTACAAAACTTCAGAATAGATTTCATGATTTCTGTGAAGAAAATCTTAGAGGGGATCACTTAAAAAAAAATCTCAAATGCACAAATTGCCTTGTCGAGGCTATATATGTTGCCCAAACTGCAGTACCTGAGAACCTGAAAGGGAATTAAAATGTCACTAAACCAAAAGACAGTCTATTTTAATTGTCTGAGTTGAGACAAGGGCAAGAAGTGAGCAAACAGCATTCCTAGGTAGCAGCAAATTTATCTTTACAATTATTTATGGGCCAAGATCTGCTGCTCCCATCTTAACACTAAATATTACCTTAAACTCAACTTACTCTACAAATACATTCATTCGATTCACCACGAGTAAGTGTGGCATTTGCCTTTTGGCCCTGCTGTGTACACAAACTGTACATATAAATATCCATATGCACACAGACTCACTCTCTGCACACATACAAATACATGTGTAATATTTCATAGAAGCATAGAGTAATTTAGGTTGAAAGGGACCTTTGGAAGTCATCTGGTCCAGCCCCTCTCTCAGAGAAGTGCTAACCTGGAAGATATGTTGTGTTGCTCACAGCCTTATCTCACTAGGTTTTGAATTCCTGCAAGGATGGAGACGTGCCTTAGTTACCCCAGCACAACTTTGCCTGTGAACATTCGGATCATTTTACAGATGGCAATTTCTCTTGGGCAATTTACAGCTACAACCCACATGGATATAGACATTTTATTAATACGCTTTAGCAATCTTGAGAGAAATTAGATTTCTAGGGAAACATGAGAATTTGAAGGAAGCTCCCGAGTGTTGGGTAGTTATTTATTACTCAGACTTTGGGGAGTCCTCCTTCAACAAGGAGTGAGACCCCCACCCCCACATACCACAGAAACAGCTATTTTCAGTCATGTATGGTGAGATGTATAAAACTGAGTGTCAGTTCTAATAAGATAATTAGACACGTGTAACCAATTTGCCCTGGAATCTGAATAAAATACAGTTCATAGATAAATGGCTTCATTAAAAGAGAATAATAGCCATAGGTTAAGAAGTCCCAACTTGGCCAAGTTGACTGACTGCTGTTCTGGGAATTAGAAGGCATGAGTTTAATTCTGGCTCTGCTATTGTTTTTGTTTTTTTTTTTTTTCTCTGGGACCTTGAGCAAAGTCACTTTACCTCCCTTGTGCTTCAGTTTCCCATCTGGAAAAAGGACTTTGTAGAGCATGTCGAGATCTACAGGGAAAAGGCTATATAAGTGCCAAACACCAAGGTTATTTTGATGCAAGAATTTATTATTGGAATAAAAAAATTACAGAACCTTATTGAATGCAGAAACGGCTTTCTTCTTCTGTTTGGAATGATTATGGGGGTGGGGAGGGGGAATAGAAAGATTTCAGCACAAACAGCAGCCTGGTTCCCAAACTCAGAGCAGTGGTGGACTCTCCCTGGTCAGTACACCAGACACAAGGGAAAGTCTCAGTTCTGAAGAGCCTGGGGGGCTGAATTTCATTTCCCAGCCAAAGGGAGAAAAATGAAGAAACAGTTTTGTGGTCCATTTTTTATGGGGCCAGTAAGTATCATTAGGGGAAAATATAAGCTTCCAGGAACTAGGCTTCATTAGGCCGTGGAGAACCAAGTGAGACAGAGCAGCAAGGTTCAGTGGTAGGGAGCTCCAGCAGGTACGGTAATTAGGTTATGAGGCACAATGAAACAAAAACCAGCAGTGTGAGAAGGGAGCCAGGTACAGGCACAGGCGGGAGTGCTGTGCCTTCAAGATGTATGGCTTGTTGCAATGATGAGGCAGCCCTGTTACTCAGAGTTTAAAACAAAAGAAAAAAGGATGTTACCTAACCACAATGGAAAAAAAAAGAAAAAGGGGAAGGAGAGAGGGAAGAAGAAAGAGATAGTCTCATTATGTTTCTGTCATGTCTTGTCTTTCTAGTTTGCTCTCTCTCTTTTTACCATCAAACTCCATGAAAGCAGTCATCAGGTCTGTCAGCTGGTTAGGAGACATGCTGACAGCACCATGTGCTCATTAGATTTCACTTTGTAGAATTTAGACAGCCTGCTGGTGAAGAAAGATGGGATCTGCACTTAGTATGGCAGTCCAGAGTCACAGTCTGAGGTCGTTTCCTAAAAGGGCACTTCCAGCATAGCTTAAATATCACCATATGAGCCTATGCTAAATCATAAAAAGATATTAATAATGTTACCATATTAGAAATGCCAGACAAAGTGAACCTTTAGAAATAATGAAAAATCTTGTTTCCTTTGGCAGTGAAGCCAGCTGTAACACCATGTACTTCTGTGTGAAAATAGGGAGTGAAACTGGCTAAAACCCAGCCTCAAAATCGGCCTTTCCTGGTGGACACCCTAGTCTTCAAGAGTAGCAAATTCACAAACAGAAAGATGACCAAAACATGCTATTATAACTTAGATAATCTATACTCCATATGAGTGCGTAAACCAGTCCTGCAATCTGAAGAAGACTTGCTCATGTGACATCATCCTCTGTGGTTTTCTTAAACTATTTTTCTCACCACAGAAGTGAGAAAGCCTTCAGGGAAAAGACTGAAGTGGACATATTCCTTCCCTCTGGTCTGTTTACCTCCTCTGGCTGGCACTGCAAAACTGCCTGTGTATTCTTTAGACACCCAAACCGAGCTGACATTTTGGCCACGTGTTACCACGTAGTTTGGGATTTCCTGGGCTGGGATTTCCTCCACCAGCCTCATGACACACATGATCTGACAAATTGCTGAATAATAGATCCTGTCAATCCTTGGCAGATAATGGATTATTTTCATGTGTCCCCCTCTCTGTTCCTCACTTGCAGAGTACACGGTGATCAATGAAAACTGCCCGGGTGCCGAGTGGAATATCATGTGTCGGGAGTGCTGTGAATACGACCAAATTGAGTGCATCTGCCCAGGACAGAAAGAAAGAGTGGGCTACACCATTCCCTGCTGCAGGAACGAGGAGAATGAGTGTGACTCCTGCTTAATCCACCCAGGTATGTTTAGGACCACATTGTGTTCTCACCAGATCTTTGGCCAAAGCATCAGCACCTAATGGTAGCTGCTGGGCAGTGGGGTGGGAAGGGCAGGCACATCTCACTGGGGTATGGGACTGCCTTGCATCTCCTCAGGAACTCTCCCTGCCACACTACTGACATTTGGCAAAGTGCCCCTGCATCACGTAGAATCACTGCCATTAAAAAAAAAAAAAAAACCAAACAACACTTTCTACCAGCAGTGTTGCCCTCAGGGCATCTTGGGCAGGTTTGGGAGCTGCCAAAGGGTGACGTTGCAGATGGCTTCACACCAGGAGTGTTTTGTAGGTGCTCTGGGATGATTTACATCCCCAAAACCAAAAGGGAGAGATGACTTGGAAGTCCAGCTAGCAAGGAGGAAAGGGCAAAATTGAGAGCAGGAGGAGACAGGACCAGGTTAGAAGAAATCAGAAACCACTTGGTCTGGGCCTGAGCGGCACCAGCATCCACATTCAGACTCCTGAGACAGGCTTTTACAGTTGGAGCAATGAGATTGAGAGATTTGGGCAAGTCAGACTAGGAGTTTGGTTCCAAATTTCAGAGTCTGAGCTGCCTAGGGTTTGGGGGAGGAGGTTGGGTACGGTTCACAGTGTGGAAGCTGTTAGCCCTGCAGCAGTCACTAACATCACTAGCATTTTTTGTAGAAAAGAGAGGCTTCTCCTCTCCCCACAGGACAATCCACCTTGGGTTTCCTCTAATGCAGTGGCTCTCCTTTCAGGCTGCACCATTTTTGAGAACTGCAAGTCCTGCCGTAATGGTTCCTGGGGAGGGACACTTGACGATTTCTACATCAAGGGGATCTACTGTGCAGAGTGCAGAGCTGGCTGGTACGGAGGGGACTGCATGAGTAAGTGTCCTACACGGGCAGGGAGGTACGTCAGGGACAGGGAGTGGTGGGACGGAGCCAGAGCCATGCTGTGCCTTTCCAGTTATTCCTGTACAGTGACTTGCAAAGAGCACAGGCAGAGAGGGCAAAGACAACCAGGGAGTAAGCAGAGTTACAGTGGGGAATACTTTTCTCCCAGTGCTCATCTGCTAGGGATCGGCCTGGGCCTGAAGTCATGGGAGGTTACAATCCTACTGAACTTCTGTTTTGGTTTGGTTTATTTTAAAACTTTAACTACTGTGACTTTGGAAATCTTCTGTTCTCTGCATTTCTTGGACATACTTCAGCAAAACTAATTCCCCAGAGGCCTTCAGCAAAGCGTAAACACTTACAAGGGCAACAGCTATACCAAAGAGCTTCTCCTCTTGTCCTCCTTCAACCCCTGGGCTGCAGAACCAGCCCCAAGGAAGTCCCAGTACTTCCTCCCTCCTCCACACAGCTCTAACACACTCCAGGGCAGCTCTGGAAAACAGCATCTTGCAACTGCAAACAGTGCTGTGATGGACTGGGAATGTTCCAGGCTCTGGTAGTGATATCTGAAGCTCTTATTCCCGAGGGTGTACAAAAGCTCCCACTACTCGGATTTTGCTAAGATGTTGGTCCCAATGCTATCTCTTAATAACAAATTCCATAAGATAATTTGAAACACTTAAGACGAGAATTTCCTTTACCAATTTCCCATCAGTGAAGGCATAGCGTCTCACCAACACTCTTTCAATTTTTATTGACTGTCTCTGCTCACATTTCAGTGAAAGGGATGAAAGCAGAGTCTGTGTTTCCTACTCTGTTCTGTCCATTACGCACCCTAGTCTTGTCGCCTCTTAGTCATTGATTTTAAAGCACCAATTGAACCTGCTTTCCTAACACAGCTCATGACCATTCAGGAGATGAAAGCAAACAAAATAAAATCACTGCTTCAAACAGCAGAATACGGGGAATCAAGTTTCGGCAACAGGGCTAACTCAACCTCAGCACTTCAGAAGCTGATAAACTGAGTCCCTTGCAGTTTATGGTGTGATTTCTGAATAACACTTTAAAGTCCCGTTTGCTCTGGGTCGATGCTTGAGCTCCCCTGGCACTTTTTATAAGAGCAGAGCCAAGAAAGAATCATTAGCTCATCAAATCCTTCCTCCCTCTGCCTCAGTAGACTGGCTGGCTACAGTATATTTCAGCCTGCTCTGCTGATTTGTGTTTTAAAGCAAGTACACCCTCACACCGACACCTATTTGGACATTTCTGTAATACTGAAATTTTGCAGAGCTTTCTCTGATACTGTTTTTTTCCCGTTACTTACTCTTCCGAGGGCAGCAGCGTGACACCCAGGACGTGGTCTCTTTTGTGCTGTTCTGCAGTACTTCAGAGGCGGGGAGGGATGGGCAGACAGCACTATTGTCTCTTCCACTGCCAAAGGGGAGCACCGGAGGCAGTTGCGTTCCCAGCACGCTCCTGAGCTCCCTTGCTCTGGCTCTCACAGCTATCTCACTTTGGGCCTTGTCAATAGGCCGGGGACCGCATTGTCTGGCGAGCAGGCCGTAGCCATGCCAGGTGCTGGCCTGCAGCTATACGGACATGCCTCTGTCGGATCTGCAGGGCAGCCAGCCGGTCCCCTCTCAACGACAGCATGCACTGGCCGCTGGAGCAGTGCCCGTGCTAACGCTCCACATGTTGGAGAGCGCAGGAGGAGGCATCCATCTCTCTTTGGTGCCTGCATGCGGGATCGCATCCGGAACTCCGCAGCCTGCCCCAGGCGCCTCGCCGGTGGCAGAGTGCCAGTTAATCCTGGAAACACACAGGAGCGCAACCACAGTAACGGGGGGGTGTGTGTGTGTGGGTGTGAATGTAATCTGCCTACTTCATCCTACACTGCGAACGCCAGTGCCCCCTGCTCGCAAGCGCACGGACGGCCTGCGAGACCTGCCCCGACCAAGACGGTCGGGCACACGAGCTGCAGGCAGAGCTTCACGCCGCGCCCGGCCGGCGGCCGTGGGCAGCAGCGCGGCCCCGGCGGCCAGCCAGGAGGGCTCCTGCTGGCACAGCGGCCCTCGCAAGGGGCCCCCGCATCCCCCCGCCCGCCCCCAGCTCGCCCCTGCCCCTGCGCCCGGCCAGCCTGCCCGCTGACCCCACGCCTGAGCGGTTGCTGGCGGCTGCCCGAGCGCGGCGGAGCTGACGGAGGGGCGGGCCGCCCGCCCGGGGAGCGCCGGGCTTTTGTCTCCCTCTCGCGGGGTGCGGGCGGCGTTGCCGCGGAGCACCGGGCCCCAGCCCCGGGGCTCCTGCTCCGGGAAGCGGCTCCCACAGGCGCCGCAGGAACCGGGCGGCCATGCCGACAGCCCCGGCCCCCCCCTCCGCTGCCGCGGCGGGCGCTCCCCCGCCCCGCCCCGCCCCGCCCCGCCCGCCCGCCTTGCCGTTTCCCTCAGGCGCCGCCGCGAGGTGGCGCGCGGCGCCCCCGCCCGCCCCTGTCAGCAAGGCGGGGGAATGGCGGCGCGGGGGGGAGCGGGGGTGAGGGCCGCGGGTGCGGAGTGCGCGGCTGCAGTTTAGCCTGGGGGCAGGATGAATGCCTGTTTAATGCGGCGGCGGCGGTGGTGTGGGGGGCAGCTGTGGGGCAGGCGCTGGTTACCCTCAGGGCAGCTGCCTGCGCGGTAGCCCCACGCCCCTGGGGTACCCCGTCCAGCGCCGTGGGCTGGCAGCACTGCCCCAGCTACAGGGCAGCGGTCGTGGGGCTGCCTGCAACCGTGAGGACAGGATGAGCCCCCGGGGGGAGTCGTTTCTGGGAACTGCCAGCAGAAGCAGTGATGTCCCCGGAGTGCCGCGGCATGGCCTGGACCGTGGGGCCGCCCGGTTCGTACTGGCTGTTGGCACAGCCAGATGCGTGGACATGGTTGAAAAGTAGCCAAGGGACTCCAAATCATTTGGCAAAAAGAGAAATGGTATAAGGTAGTTCAAAGGAATGTTATTAGGAAGAAACCGCACTGATGAATAGAGTTAATTGGGTCCTGGGACATTTCCTAGTGGGACTGTTGATTGGATTGGGCCATCATCCCCTAAAAGGCACATCAGAACCTAAAACCTGATGAAAAATAACCCTGTAGGATCCTTTTCTCTGTACCCTACACTCCAACAGCTATTGTCAGCCTCTGATTGTCATATTGCTTGAGAACACATACTCCATCAAAGCGGGGAACAAGGGGGTGTTATCCAACAGCTGTCCTGAGCCTCACTGTCCGAATGTGGTCCCTGTGGCGAACAACAGTACTTGTAGTGTTAGAGACTTTGCTGACATTAGTGTTTCACATACTACTAGCGACTGACAAGCAACAGGTAGCAACAAGGCATGACGAGTGACAGCTGCCTTCCCACATCAGCCTGTTTCTGAATATTAGTAATGTTTCTACTGTCATTCTCTGTTCACTCATCTTGACCTTTGAAGGAGCCCCACATCGATCCTGTGGCGATCAAACAGCAGATAATGAGTTCTTACCAGAGGTCTCCTCAGGACCTCTCCCTCCACTGACCCATGGGTCTCAGTGGGCTACAACTCAGAGGTCTCCTGAATTGTTTTCTGTTAGTAACAAGCCTTGGAGGAAATCTTAGAGTGGCCCTGAAAGCTGACTATTTTTTGGGAACAGGAACGGAACAAGGATGCTGACACTCTGCCAAAGTGGATTATTTTTTTGGTAAATGAGGCAGAATTTGCCAGCATTTGTGTTTAGGATGTAAATTATTTTTGAGAGCTTTCCAGGTCTCCCGCAGATTCAGAATGGGAAGAGAAAAGACTCCTTTTGATCAACAGATGATTGAACTGTTGGTCTCGGGAGTCATCCTAACTTGTACTAGAAGAGCTGGAGATACAAGAGCACAGATCTGATGTGATTGCAAAGGTGCTTCATGTGGAGAAGGTTGGTAGCAAATCTGAGAACATTCTTTTGGAGACAGTCATTGAATGGCTCCTCTTTGGCCTCTGGACCACCTGCTTTGCTGGCCAAACCTACTTCCTTGGCACTAGTGTTCAGAGAGTTCAGGCTGTACCACTGCAAAAACAAAAGTGTGTTTAGTATGCCATGCATACAAGTATCTCTTTGGACCATTTCTTTGGCTTTCCTTTGTTAAAGGCATTGAAAACTCAAAAGCTTTTTGGGATGAAAGGGAAACTTTCTTTGAGGTGGTCCAAGCCCCCTGTCAAACCATCTGAAGATTTTTAGCAGCTTTGTCTCAGGTTGTTTTGAGGCACAAGCCAGCAGCAGGACAAGGTCCTGTTTCTTGCTGTGGGAAGGAGCATTTTCATGTGCACCACAGCAGATCCTGCTGTACTTGCTGAATCCTAATGTGGTTGCTGGGCACAGTCATTAATCCTTGCCTTTTTCAGAGGGAACTAAGCAAGCCACAGAGGAGAATGCAACACTTTTGAGGAACTCTTCTGAGCAGGATTTCTATTTCCTTGGGTCCTGCTTAATTAAGGGTAACTGAGGGTAAATGAACAAAGGGTATTTCATTTGAGCAACACTTTCTGAAGAAGAAAGGGGAGTAATTGACCTGCAGTTTTCACATTTCCCCATAGACCAGATTCAGCAGGACTGATTTCCAGACACTAAGATCAATGGGAACCGCAGATGCTTGGTACTTCACCAAATCAGGTCACTGTCACCCTCTTTTCCCAAAGGAAGGAAAGTCCTGAGACGAGTGTTAAAACCCACTGTTTCAGTAGGAAACATTCATCTTGTGTTACTAGTTAAAAGTTTAGGGTTCCTCTTTGGAAATAGATGTAAGGAGCAGGGCTTTCTGTTGGACTAAAAGGTAAAAAGAAGCAAGAGAGTAGCTGTGGAGGTCTTTTGGGTCATTTGTCTTTTTACTAACGCTCATTATCTGTGGTGTGCAGCCTATCAGAGTCCCCTGGTTCAGTGATGCTGTTAGACTCAATTGCAATTTCTGGGTACAGCCTCATCCCCCAGCAAAGCAACAGAAGGCTTACTGGGGAATGTAGCCATGTACAAGACTCCATTCAGAAAAATGTAGTCAGGAAAGTAGCAACTGAGAAATTAGCTCTGTTTGGTGCTTAATGATTTAACTCTGCATTTTGCTAGCACTTGCATTTACAGATCACAGAAGGCTCTACAAGGATGACTAAACAACTTTTCTTCCACAGAGAAAAACACCATTAGCCATAATTTATAGCTGGGAGAAAGGGAGAGGCTACCGAAGGTGAGAGAGCTCTCTGGGCTAAAAATGTTCAACATCCAAGACGAAGAATTAGAACAACTATACCTGGACAGCTGCCTAGGGACAGCTGCAGGATAACCATGAAAAGATATTGCTTCCTCAGTGTGTGACCTTGTCTGTGGTTTGTTCAGGTCATTGTTCTCTGATGGTTTTCTCAGACTGGGCACAAATGACCAGAGTACCTCGTCTTATTCTGTTGATGCTGGGCAGTCACCATAGTATGGTGAAAAGACGAGAGTGACACAGGCAGAACGGGACAGGAGGAGAGGAAGGATAGGGATGAACCTGAGAGAAGGGATGAGGGCTGTGTATTACATATGTCTTACGTTGAGTGGAGGAGCTGTGGTGGTTATATGTCTCCATTGGCATGGTGGCATTAACATGTAAGGACAATGTGGTGAATTCTGAGGACAAACAGATGTCTCCTCTAGGAATACTTCAGCTTTTTCCTCCAAGAGACTCCTTGTGAAGGACTCGGAACTGTGATGTTGGGTGCAACAGCTTGTCCTCTCATTGTTTCACTCAGTTGAGCTAATTAAAGTGTTCATTGTACCTTTGGCACTTTCCAACTAGCTTCCTCAGCTTCAGTGGTTACACAGGTCAACAAGAGATCCATTAAAACTGTTCTGAGCTGGAGCATCAGCTAGGTGGGTGGGCAGGCTAATCAAGAGTGGGGCAAAAGCTGTAAGAAATGGCTTCATGGGTCTGCATTGCAAACCAGGGAGAAGCAATCAACTAAAACCTTTCTAGGGGCATTCTTAGCCTAGACGATACTTCAATAAAGTCATAACTCTTTACAGCCATTGTGTGGCTGTCCCATTATTTTATATACTGCCTTGTAAGGAAGCATGTATCTTCCTAATTACTCTGTCTTCTCATTCCAGTGTTGCTTCTACATGTTGTAGTAGAATTTCTGACAGAGAATGGCCATGATATTTTGTTGCAAGGTTTGGACAATCCAGGCCTGAGATCAGACTGCTAACAACACCTGTGTTATGAGGATGACCTTGAAGGGCTGTGTTGTGAGGAACTGTATCTGTTAATGAGGAATTTTCTCAGCTATGTATCTGGCTAAGCTAAGCACAAGTATGCAGCAAACCGCAAGATGCTTGTCTATCACAGTTTCCCTTTGGGTGCGTGATAAGTTGCTTATGACCAATAATCCAGGGGTATGGGGGGCGTGAACAGCTGGTGCTTGCTGTGCAAAGTATATAACCAAGTGATTCGGGCAATAAAGTGGGACGACATGTAGCCGCATCAGTGTGATTGTCGTTACTCGGGCCACTCTCTGTATTGGGACCCTCTTCAACATGTATTTTCTTCAAATGCTTCTTGAAGGTCCATCATACAGATTTTTTCTTTTTTTTTTTCTCTCTAGGGTGTGGGCAGGTTCTTCGGTCTTCTAGAGGTCAGATTTTGCTGGAGGGTTACCCACTGAATGCACGATGCGAATGGACTATTCATGTTCAAGCTGGATTTAACATTGAATTAAGGTAGGTCATACTGACTTTTTGCCAGCACTGGTTTCAGGTGGACATTGGAGCATGTGGATAGCCAGGAGTTAATGAGGATCAACATCCGGGAGCCCTGGGGCAGTGAAAGTACAGCCACCACTTTGCATTTGGTGCCTCAGCTCTTTCCCCTGGTCGAGCATGTGATGGGCAGCCACTGCACAAATAATCAATGCTGTGCCTTCAACTCCCATTTAGGACAGCTGGATGCTAGGGAGAGTTTTTCAGATATTGAGCATGATGTATCTCTCTAGAGCCCTCTTCAAGACCTTGATACCAAAGCACCTAATATTTTCTGAAGAGTGTACCAGACTGAACTAAGACATTCTTTGAAGAAAAGCTGTAGGAACATTTTGATATGATGTCTCATTCCAGGAGAGAGTTGTCCATGGGACCTGCATTGCACTTAGCCTACATTTTCCCTCTTATTTTTCTTTCACTCATTTTACCAACCCTGTCCTCTACCAGCCTCAGTTATTCCTCTTACCATTCCTGTGTCTGGAGGGTGTGTGGTTCTCCTGCAAGTCATTGCTCCTCTGACCTGTGTATGCTTAGACCTGTTAACCTGCCCCTGCTGACTCAAGATCACAGTTCTTGATTGAGTATCCTGCCTGGTGCAGGAGAGTCCCTAGTTGGGGTAATTAATACTGTTTTCACATGTGTGTAGCAGGGAGCTCACACATGTAGCAGGAAGCTTGGTAGGGGATTGTATTCAAAACCCACTAGCTAATAGAATAAAAACAGTAGTTAAAGCCTTCACATCAATATTTCACCAGCTTTGGATACCAGGCAAAAGAACTGTGCTAGATACGCAAACAGATTTCTTCCTATACGTTTAAAGAGAGATTTACTATTTAATAAGAGGAAGTGAAATCAATTGAATAGAATAGAAGAGCTTGTGGCATTCCCACACTAGTGCCCTTTTCTTCAGACTTGCAAATGCAAGCCTATTGTGTAATTATGAGCAGCTGCAATTATTGCCTGAATAGCGTTGGAGCCTCTCGACTCCGGAGAAATGTGTAGGAGACACGGGGGAGCAATGCTGTGAGGAGGAGTTTTGTGTTCTTACGACACAACTGTGTATCAGTCTCAGCAGGTATGAGCTGTACCTACCTTTCTTAAAAGATGTTGGCTAGGCGTATGATTTGCACAGCACAAGCTCGGGGAGGTGGCAACCTGGTATTTTTTACATTTCTGAAAAAGGCTTTGCCAGTTGTAAGGCTGAAAAAGTGCTTCAGGATCTACAGGTGTCACCTTGTCTTCACTTTTATGGGGGTGTGTGAGCGTGGAAGTGGATGCACAGTCACTAGTGCAGGACATGCACATCACTAGTGAATGCACCCATCTCCCAGAAAAGAGTTGACAGCCAGGTGGCACCAGGCACAATGTGCAAGAAAGGGAGGAAAGGCTATTTTAACAAAGGACACTAGATCCAACAGCAGTACTTGCTGTGGCTGCAGTAAGGAGACTCTCATCCATTTTCAAGGCAGAGGAATGGGGAGTGCTGTAAGGTAAACTGACAGGTACTAAATCTTTGGAGAAATCAGACCTACATTCTAGACCCTGAGCACCACCCACATGCATGCTAGGGAGATGTTAGTGTCACGTGAGATCTGTACAGTTCACTCTGCTTACCTTTGCTGTTACCAGAAGATAGAGAACTTTAACGAGGGACGTCCTGCAAAGAGTGCCTTTTTTCCCTGTGTCCATCCTTCCTACAGTCAAACAAACACAATACTAGGCATCTACTTGATGTGACATAATGTTACATTCTAACTGTGAAAGTCTACAAGAGGGCAGCCTGAGCTACCAACCTTTGGTTGTCAGCAACTACATTTATCTGAGCTGGGTAGCACTGGAGAAGCCTAAAGCCCTGTTCCCAGCCTGAGCTGAGCTTGATGTCTGGGTGCCTAAAGATCCCCAGAGATGACACAACACTTCTAGGGAAGATCAGGAACTGTCCTGAATGTCCACACTTAATCCTGCTACCCTGCAAGTCAGGATGCATATGAGGAAGCCTCCAGGGCAAACACACAGCATGAGGACCTATATCTACCTCATGCAAGGTAACCCTGGAGTGTGTTCTGAATCAGCTGAGGTTATCAGGGTGGACCACCTCAAAGCTGGCCATTGAGGTAATTCAGCAGTTACTGTGGAAAACTGGTACATTTAGCCTAAAGCTTCTCTTATTAGGCTGTTCCTACATAGAAGGGCAGGTACAGCTAAGCAGGCCACCAGAGTCTTCCTCCTGGGTCTACCATCCATGCTGAATTGTGGCCTTCACTGCATTTTCATATAAACATGCTGATCTCCTCTTGTGTGCTAGCTCTGCTTAGAACTGTAATGCACAGCCAACTTTGTACTGAATCAGCACAACTGCTAACAAAAGAACCTTTTTTCACTCTCTGTGCACAAATCATGTTTGCTGACACTGATGGCTTGCGATGGCAGGGATGGGGACAGTGTGATACAGAAGGGGAACAAAGTGGTTTGTCTCTGCTTACATAGGGCAGGAAGAGTCAAACTCTCAGGAGCACATATAAATCTTCCCTTGCTTCAAGCTGTGCCACACAGTCCTTTGGGGGTTGGCTAAGCAGAGCTGTTTTGATAAATGGTACCCAGATTGTGGTGGTACTTTGTTTTTCTGCTTTTTTCCAGCCCTGTTTTAATTTGGATTGTGATGTATAGGCTCCCTCAGCCCAAGCCATGTCAGAGATGCCATACCACAGTAGAAGCAGCTCGCAACTTTCAATCATTTTCTTTAATGCCTCAGCAGAGATGCAGTTTTAAATATTTTCCTTTGGCTAGGACTTTCCTCAGAGTGGTTGGTGAATGTAGTCAGACTGGATGCTGGCACGCTTAGTTTCATAATGTCCAAGAGAATTATAATATTGTTACAGTTTCACAGGTGAGGGAACTGAGGTTCATTACATTGGCTGTACCTGTGATTTAAACAGCAATAGACCTCGTGGTCTGTAAAGGGTCCTGTCAACCCCGGGCCATAGCCAAGAGGCTTTGAAAAGCTTTGGCAGGTTTCCTGACCTGACAATTCTGAGTCCTTATCATGGGATCCCATGTCATCAGTACAGTGTATCTGATTCTCTGTTAAGTTAAATAAAGTGCAAATCTGTACCCCCTCTGCCTTTCACATCTTCCACTCTGTTTTTATAATTTTTTAAAGCAGATAAAGCAAACAATTAAAAGCAATATTCTGTGTATGGCTCTTTCATTCTGTGCCTTCACTGTGTACGAGTATCTCTTGATATTCTTTGTTCAGGAACACACTGCTAGACTATTATTTACATCTATAAATAATACTACTCCCATTACATGGTGGGCATCCCAGAAACTTTCCTTCTGTACTTACACACATACGTAATTTTAATCAGCAGTGTACCTGTTCAGAGAAGTGGTAAATATTTTTCAGATTGAGTCAGGATAAACTGTAGCCTGGTAAGTGTGACGAGGATGAATGGGTTAATTTGTATTGCTCTATATCTTCCATAAGGGTAGATCCCTGGGGTATGATCCACCAGTGAAAGAATGTTTGAAGATGTAGTGTATAACCTGATGCCTGTGAGGACATGTCTGGCAAACCTGACAGAACTAGAATTCAACTCATGCATTTTATGCAAAGCTAGGTTAAATTAATCTCTCTATTGCATATTTAAAGCAGATGTCCTTTTCTTCTTATCCTACATTCCACCAAATGATTTAAAAAATGAGGGGCTCAGCTCCATTGGTGTAGCTTCCTACAGCTGCTCATTCATTTCTCTGTATGTAGTGTACTCCTGATGCTCTAAACCCAACCATATGACCTGGAGAAAGATAGTGAAGAGGCTTAAGTCAGCTCATAAGTCAGAGAAAGGTCATTTCACAAAACATGGGGGCCTCCTTAACATGGGGGCCTGAGTCCCAAGAAGAGAAGAGCAGGAAATAGGCTCCAGTACTCTCTTGCCTCTTCAGGCTGTGAGATCCATCAGCAGATCCAAAATTTGTCTCACCTCTTTGGTGTGAAAATGCAGTCTTTGCAAATCATGAGGCCCACACTGGAATAGGCAAGTGGGAGATGTAACCTAATCCTGAATACGTCTGTGGCATTAGGAGCTCTTGGGAAGACTGAGTACATGAGTTTCATATATAAAGTATTCTGCTGAACAGTTAGTAGCATGGCCTCTCCCAGGCCCAGATCTTCTCTTTCTTATCTGCTTCAACAAGGCTGGCCCCTCCAGAGGCACTTGGTGTTTCTCTTTTTTTTCTCATTCATATTCTGGTGGGATGCTTTGGCTCTGTGCCCCACTGAATTAAAACCTCAGCATATAACATTGCTGTTAATGAACAAGAGCCTTGCACAGTGGCTGGATCAAAGCTAGGAAAGACAGATATTGTGAGAAAAGGCTTTAAATATTTCCCTTCTGCACTAACTCCTGTCCCTTATTTCTGCCCTCAAAAGAAGAGCCAGGCACTGGGGATTTGCTACCATTTTGCTTTCTAATGCAAAACATGCTGTTGTGGTTTTGATTCCCTTTCTCTGCCTATTTCTGCTTCTGTTACATCCTCAAGCTTTCCTTGTACCCCTGATTGCTGACTTGAACATCACAGTGTACATAGCTTTTGAGCCTTGGTCTCTGATACTGTTACTTTCAGTACTTATAACTTTATTTAGAGAAGGAGAGCAATTTTTAGCGAACAACCATGGTAGAAATATGCCCCCTACAGTGTCTGACCCTAGGTGAAAGTTCTAACATTGTAATGTGGTTGGGGACCTGATGCATGTGAACAGGCTATATGACTTCAATTTAGACTTCACTGTTCTGCCAGTTAAATATTCTTATGGAGTGACTGTAGAGTTGAGCTGGCTTCCAAGGATCATGATGTAAAAATTGAGATGAAGTGAGGGGGACTTCATGCTTAGGGACTTGTTGATTCATTGAGGCGGAAAAGGCACTAACACAACTAAACATCCAAATAAATCAGAGTCAAGGTGCACAGGTGAGATTATGCGGTCTGACTCTGTGTCCTTGTTCCCCAAGATTTTCCATGCTGAGCCTGGAGTTTGACTACGTGTGCCAGTATGACTATGTGGAGGTCCGTGATGGGGACAATTTGGATAGCCGAATAATTAAGAAATTCTGTGGAAATGAGAGGCCAGCTCCCATCCGAAGCACTGGGTCTTCACTCCATGTCCTCTTCCAGTCTGATGGATCCAAGAACTTTGATGGATTTCATGCTGTCTTTGAAGAAATTACAGGTAAAATAATCTGAAAGTGGAACATGCCACTCATTAATTCAATTTCACTAATCTCTCTCCTTGTTTTGCTTCATTAAAAGCTTTCATGCTGTGTTGCCAACATCAACTTACACAAAGTCAATGCAGGGAAGATTCAAAAGCCGTCAGATGGCATGTGAATATGAGGCTCTTCTAACAAAGACTTGAATTACTTCTACATGTGTGAAGAACAAGCACATCAGCGAGCACTGAAAAGCTGCTCTTTTGTGAGACTTTTCTGTTTGAGTCTGAGAACTAAGAGCATGGAAGGATATAGAGGAAGGGTCGTGTGTATCTGCAATTGCAGAATTGCTCAATGCTGTTTGCTGGAGTGGAGTCGCTGTCTCAATTAGCAAAAACCTGTTGCAAAGCCTCATAATTAGCTCAGTGGAAGTGCTCTGACATGACTCTTGTGTTGGCTCATGTATTGTACCATTAGGGCTTAAAAAAAGAAGCATGTACAAAGGACAGATCATTTACTTTAAGACATAAAAAAAAGAGGCATTTCCCATTATGTGATGAACTCAGTGTTATGAATGACAGAAGCAGGGCTCCTGAATTCCTGTGTGTTTGTTAGTACTCGTGCTTAAGTTCCCCACACTGCTTTCAATCATTTCTTTCTGCTGCAAAGTAACATTGGAAGTGTAGCTGGCTCCTCATTTGGCCATTGCATATGATGCAACCTCTGTACTCCTCCTGCATCTTCCTTGTTTAGCTATGTAGGGAATGTTGATCAAATCTATCCTCAGTGCTCCTGGCACAGGAGGCTAATCAGAGTGTGCTGCTTTGTCATAGATAAACCCTGCAGGATCTGTGACTCACCATAACTTGCCCTCTGCACACCCTGGTGACCCACATTTCATGAGGTCATCCAGGGTATACCTGGCTCAGGAAGTTTAGTTAGTTCATATAATCCTTGTATAAAACACAAACCTACAGTGAATCAGCTGTTAACAGTGGTTGGGGTGGAACTAGAAATCTGAAACGTGCATACCACTGGATGCAGTGCCTATGCCATTTCTTAGCCTGCCCTGTTCTTCAAATGTTACATCCAATACCTGTTAGCAACATAGCAGGAGCAGTTAACTATTGATAGTTCACCTGGGTTTGCAGCAGGAGAGATGATATAGAACAAATGAATGTGGTGTGGACTATGTTGCATAAGGGCTGCCTACACTTAGGGAACTAACATTTTCCATATGGTGCAAGCTGAATTGATTCTGTTTTCTCTGCCCAGCAGGGAACACTTGGTATTTGAATACTGTTGAGCACTTTATTTCCGCCTCATTTTTAGTGGTAATTATTCTGAGGCTGGGTGGCTGCAAGTGTGGTAATCCACACAGAGCACGTTCCAAAGGGCTTCTTAGAGTTTGTGAGGATGTCTTATTGTGCACTTGATTATGAGGCTGTTCTGGCCCAATGTGTAGCTGCATTGAAAGGCTTTTAAAACACTCCCAGTGTCTTTTGATTTGAAGCATTAACCTGGCCGGCAGGACAGTTTGAAGGAAGAACATGGCATGCATGGGGCAGTGTAGAATTGAAAGTGAGCGAAGCACAGGATCAAAAGCTCTGTCAGCACATTGCAAACTGAAGCATTTCCCCTGAAATTTCCCTCTGTGCACAGCTGCAGAAAATCTGAGGTCCTCAGAACAGATTGCACAGGGCTTGCTAGAGCAATTCCCTGTGCTGCAGGTGAGAGCAGCAGCAGCATATGTGCTTACAGGATGTGCACCAGGCCATAGAGGTGATCTGATGTCCCCAGCACCTTAGGGGTGTAATGGAGAAGACTGAAGAAGCCTCTTGTGCAGTCAGAACTGAATTCCTTCCCTTTCCGTCTTCCCTTCCTCTGAGCTCTGGGCTGGCTGAAGCAGTGGCACTGAGTGCATGGAGGTCACTGGTTCAGCTGCTGGAAAGGTTTTGATTGATACAAAATAAACTGCAAAGCCTATATCCCTTTTAGAAAAGGTCACTGCATGTGTAGTTATTAAAGAATGAAACCACACAACCTGCTGTGCTGCCTGGTCTGGAAGCAGGTGTTAGGTCCCATCCCATGCCGAGTGTCAAATGGGAGCCAATAAT